TGTTCCGATGTTCTGTAAGATGTTATGTAAGCTGTACTAGCATTTCTAATGCAAGCGAACAAACCAAATACAATTTAAACCGATTTATGTTGACGTACAGCTCTACCGAAACAGCGTAGCAGGTTTCGGTCTTTTGGTATGGACGTCTACAAACTAATTAAACCAACTTCACGAGGACAAGGACAAAAATACGGACGAATTATAGGCAGCGGTTTCGATGGAAGAGGCGATTTGACGAATACATTCCCGACAGGGTTATTTCAAACGAGTATGGATGACAAAAGTCGTGATATACTTGTTTCACTCGTAGATAATGCCTATAAAAATGTTGGGAAGGGCGGTTGCAAAGAGATCACTTATGGGCAAATCATATCAAACAGATACGTATACAAAGTTATCGGAGAATAGTACAGGCCAATGAAAGGTGAAGTGAAAGAGACAGAACTGGTTCACATTATTCGAACGGAGGTCAAGTCGATCGGATTAGGTGGTGGGAGCCTGACAGAGCTTGCCGACCTCATCATGAAAAATGGCTCCGTCGAGAAGTGGGAACACACTCGGTCATTATCGGGGTCACATGCGGATGGATTCTGTGACGGCCAGGGCAAAATGAGAGATGGTAATAGCATCCTCTGTTTACAAAGCTCTGGTTGCGTTAACTTGACCCACATTGGTGCATATCTCTCAACAGTATCGGCAGTGCGAGAACAGGGTACCTAACCTCCTGACCAAGAAACATCGGGAGGCGATCAAAGACTTATGATCGAAAAATGATCTTATTCTTTCCAGACCAGATAAAGAATCGGGATGGGTGTTAATGGAGACATCGGAGTACATCGCGAAACTGCGGGTTATTTTACAAGATTCGAGAAAGTTATTATCTGATACAGTTCAGAAGGACAAGACTGCTGAAGATGAAATAAAACCTGCGAAAGTGCTGAAGGAATTGAAACAGGTACATGTGATAAGTGGTTCTCTACTTGATCGACTAACTCTTGTTGGCTCTCAACCTTCCCCCCTGCTTTATGGTTTACCTATGTGTAGAAGCCGCAAGTCCCCTTACGTCCTATATGTCGGCTTTTGCTTTCCACTCAGTTGCAAAATGGATTGTAGTTATACTGGAACCAGTACGTAAAGGACTACGCATACTTTCTCTGAATCATTTGAAGTTGTTGAGAAAGTTAAGGACTTGAAGGCAGACGGTAAGCTGATGCTGTCCTTTGAAGTGGAGTCAATTATCACTAACGTCCCGTTACTGGGGACCGTCAACTTTAGTTGCGAATACGTAATCGAAAAAGAAAGTAATGTTTGCATTACAGTGTCCCAACACAATTGTTTCCCAATTATCTATGGATTTCATGATCGGCCCATACTATCGCGAAAAACACGTTTAGCATACATTTGTACATGCAGTACACTGAACGCTTGTTCGAAGAACTCTTATCTCTTGTGCTCATCCAACTTTCAATGATTGTCTGTATGTTTAAAAACACACTGGACCATCTTATAATCTATGCTTTGTAAGTGACTGCACCTAACTGATCATGTCGACACAGGTGTGTGTCCCGTCGACGAGAACAAACGTCCATTTAGTTATTTAATCTGGCAATGTACATATAACAGGCAGCTCTTGTCTGATGGAGTCTATTATCGACAGAACGACGGAGTTGCTATGGAGTCGCCATTAGGACCTCTTCTCGCCAATGTCTTTCTGGCTAAGTTTGAACGTGGTCCTATAGAATTTGTTGTTACTACACTGGATTTCTACTGCAGGTACATAGATGACACATTTGTTATCTGGGACTCAAGCGCTGATATCGCCGATTTACGCAATCAACTCAACGACGCACACCAATCACTGAGACACACCAAGGAAATCGAAAGAGAAGGACAGCTGGGGATCTTGGAAGTAATACTGAAGAGACAGGAAGATGGTTCTCTTGAGAGAACTGTCTTCGGGGAGGCTGGGGGTGGGGCAATACACACATTTTCTAGGTTTCGTGCCTGTGAGGTAAAAAGGTAACTTAGTTCGCGGCTTGTATCACCGAGCCTTCAAAATCTGAGGCCCTGAGAACCTAGATAAGGAGAAAGAACACATACTTGAAACGGTACTTCAGAACGGCTATCCTGTCTCTTGTATTAAAAAGCATGCTACAATCTATGATCACAGTAGGCCTATCATTAAAGTTCCAAAAAATTGATGTTTCGCATGGTTCCCTTTAAGGGTGACATTGTTTTCGATCACAGTGACCAGAACCTACCCAGCCGCCAAGCCATATGTTTTTGCGGAGACCACTTCACTTACTGCTCAGCACCTTAAGGACAGATTACCGGTCAAGTCTGAATTGTATGGGATATATCAATTTACTTACACCTGTGGTGCAAAATACCTCGGACATACGACCAGGCGTCTGTCCACAAGGAGACCTGAGCACTGCCCCGGAAAAGTATTGTCGCAAGTTCCATCCTTGAACATTTGGTTCAAAGCGGACACGAACTTCAGACCAATGATACCTTTAGTGTTTTCTACACCATGCCAAAGCAATATCAAAAGGGTTTAGGAAACGACTTGTAAAGATGACCCAGGCGACAGCGATCAATGTAACGCAACCAGAGCTTTGTAAACACAGGATGATTTTGCAATCGCTCACATTTCTCTGACAGTAACGAATCCATCCGCATGGCACCCCGATGATGACCGAGTGTGGCTCACTTCTCGACTGTCCCGTGTTTCATGAAGAGGTTAGCGAACTCTGTCAGGCTCTCACCACCTAATCCGATCGACATGAGTTCCGTAGGAATAATGTGAGCCAGTTCTGTCTCTCTCACTTTACCTTTCATTAGCCTGTACTATTCTCCGATAACTTTGTAGATGTATTTGCTCGATGGGATTTGCTCAAAAGAGATCTCTTTGCAACCGCGTTTTCCGATATAGTTTTGCCGATTGTTATAGCATGAATCAGAATTCCGAGTCAAGAAATGGTTCCGGTAAATCTCATCAGACTCAGACACTTACCTAGTGAGAAGTACATGATAAATATGCACTGAAAACGATTTTTGAGTAATCTATTCCACTCCTGAACGATTTCCGTGCGGATTCTGGAAGCATCTCCTATGTATTGCTGAATATATCTACATATGCAATCTTAAGCAGAAGCTTTGTGTACATAAGCAATTTGTACACCCGTTACGTTTACGGTGGCACACATCTTTCGATACGTGATCATTTGATTTTACTCTAACCCCCGTTAACCGTGGATTGGTTGTAGAAATAATGTACCTAAGTACCTTCCATTCGCACTCAACCTACCAGGTACAAGGACATCGTGATTTATTGATTCGGCCGTTAACATCCTAATCAATATGTAGCCCGACTCGGCATATTTATCCTGTAACACCCTGAATCAGAACTCAGTCATAAAGGGACAAGCGTTTTTTCGGCAAAGTCAACCCATGTTTGGCAAGCCAAACTCCTCGATATAAGTTGCATGTTCATGTCAATAACTAACGACTCTTCCGAGTCGATGAGGTACCCTTTTTGACTGTTAAACAAACGGTGTGTAACTCACACGGATGTCGGCCAATCGGTGCCGAGTAATCTAATACGTTACACCCGTCTCCCAATGCCTGTCTGACTCGTTCCGTTGGTCAATCCGTTCACTCCAAAATGACAGTCCCACTATGTAAATGTCGGAGCCTAACGATATTTCCCAAAAAGAATTCTTTATTCAGCACTGATTCATGTGATCAAAAGGAAATTTTTGGATTACAAAAATAAGCACATCTTGTAATTATCATAGGTCGTTGACAGCCGAATGTGCCTACCTACGGTTCATGGACGAAGCCGCTAGAATATCGTCATCATCATCAACAGAAGTACATCAGCCATTTGAACTTCTGCTTCGCTGCCATACAACCACGAGGACCTATGAAATAAAGTATAATAAGAGGGAGAGAAGGGGGACTTATCTGAAAACCTTAATGCCCTAAGCAAACATTCAGGGTCAAGGCGCCTACACCTTGTGTAGACAACATATCGTCACAAACAGCTGTCTATCGAGCAAAGATAAGGCGCTAGAATATGGGTAATTGTAAACCAAGGATGATGGCAAAATCTACCAGTGAAAGTTCCAACACTGACCGATACAGTGTTGTCCGCATTTGTTAAGAGGACAACCGATCTGACATTTGTACAGACGCTTTCCCAGGATTAGGCGTGTTGTCATGTGAATGTAAGGGGGAGCATAAAATAATTCGAATGGAATACTAAGGTTTATTGTCTATCAGTAAATGAACTGCGCTTGTCACTGCCAACCCCAAGTCAGCCGGAGTGATCAACTGAGGCTTCCGTAAACGTCGTCAGCATCTGACTGTGTGACGTCACCGGAACCACATAATTTGGCAAGAGTCGGAAACAGCAGACAAGCCAGTTAAAAATTAAGAACATTTTCATAGTTCCAATGCGATACAGCAAACCGGTCAAGAGCAGAAATTCGATGTCCTGACCACCTTCCACATTTCCTGAAAGACAAAATATCAGTAGAGCCCTAGAAATTAGAAACTTTTCTCATGGGTTTGCGATCACCAGCAGCGTCCTTTGAAAATCGCGCATAACTCACAGGTTATCGCCATGAAGACAAGCAAGATCGCGAGATCACGGGCATCATTTTTGAACTAGGGTTCCACGGGGCATCAGCACAAGATGATAACGACTAAGCAACGCAGTACGTGGACTTGGAGGGGTGTTCCAAATCCCAGGAAGAAATTCGGCAACCAGGTTTCCCTGTTATCTAAGTACAGGCAGCACAACGTATGGGCGCAACAAGTTCGGTGCACGCGTGCTATTGATTTGTACACATAGGTGAAATCCATATATTCTGTGACGGTATGGAAAGTAAGAGCAACGGAATCTGAGTGATCTATGAGATCAGAGACCTCCCAGCTTGTTTGCGATTGGCAATGTTATAGTGGGGCCAACAAATTGCGCAAACAAAACTTACCTCACAAAAAGGGACCTCGGTCGGATAATGGCTGATAGGATAGGTGCGGTGAGGAGCAGGGAGGAGGGCATGATTGCTTTCAATCCGGGTGCACTCATCTAACCGAGGAAGGGGCTGGAACCGATTTGTTGTGGAAAAGCGTGAGCACTGCGAACGCGCTGCGGTGCGAGGAGAAGGAGAGCAATCCGCAGGCAGTTGTGCCAATGGGCCTTGACAGTCAAGCTGAAAGATTACATAGTAAGCTGTATTGCCCTCCAAGATATGAAAAAATGCCCAAGTAGAGGAGAAATGGTCACCGAACCAAGATAGCAACAAACCCTGTACGCAGTAGATTCATACATAGTGGTGTATTTGGCGCGTTGGGAGCCAATCGAATCATCTGTTAGTATTACAAACTCAGACAACTGGTGATAACATGAATAAAGAAAAAAAGTTTCAATAGGGTAAAACGGGATCACTGATCATGTGTATATAGATGCATTGAGGACAAGCCTACACCAGCATATTGCAAGGCAGTAAACGAATAAAATATTTAAGCAACTCAAAACTTTTACATACTGATCCTCTCTACGCAGTGCGTACTGCATGTGTGATTCTAACTTTCCGATCCCAGTTGTGCAGGGTACTTTCAGCGAGAATCTTTCAGACGAATGAATCACCACCTAATTCCTACCCGGTTGCAGCCGAAACATTTGGCCAAAGGAATCGTTTGTGGATTCTGAACAACCCGTTCAATTTTGGGCGACCTGGCTTAAGTGCTGTCATTTACAATTGAATGAAGAAGTATAAACAGTATTAACTGCTGGTGTACGATTGTAGAGGATGGTGACATAAAAATTCGTGGACTAATATATGAGCCCGAAAATAGCCAAACCCCAGGGGAATGAATAGAATATCAAATACAAAGAAGCATTAAGATATGTCGCACCGACGCTATGCTGCTGAAGGTAAGAAACACACTTCAGGCATCGTGCCGCAACAAAAGATATAGTACGTGAAAAAGCGAGATACAGAATATTGCAGGATACAATATAAAAACAAAAATGAAGCTTTCATATTATGAGTCAATTGTGAGAACGTGGTTGGAGGTGGAAGATAGACAGGAAGGGATGAGACAAAAAGAACCACAACATAAACGCCATTGGGACCGGCTCTTCGCCATGTCAACAAGTGTATCCAATCAAACGTGCTTATTGTCAATAGAACCCGAGCGCGATAATCAGCAGACACCAACCCACGCGAAATTCGAATTGAGGGACTTCATTCTTCTTGACCAGGTCATCGCTTGGCCACCCCTCCTCTTCTTCCATCCACACTCCTGGCGCGCAAGCAACGCACGGCGTCGGAGTCGGTGTGCTGGTTTGCGCAACACGTGGACTAACTATCGGAGCGTGGTGCTGGGCGGTTCATTCGCTTTTCCTGCACCAAATACACGACGCCGAGCACGCTCATTGTTCACGCCGTGTTCCCACCAGATGTGAGTTTCGTTGCGAAGGCAGCGATGATCGGACGCAACTAGGCTCTTTAGATCTGTCGATTTGATGGGCCAGATTTCGCAACCATACAGAAGGGGTGAACGGACGGCTGTATTGCAAACTATGCTCTTCAGAGCGACAAATATGTCGCGCCAGCATCACATGTGGCTGAAATTGGCAAAAGCGCCTCGAGCTTTAGCTATACGATTTGGGATCTCGCCTTCGATCCCACGGGCGCTAATATAGATACCGATGACGACTTTTAGCTGATCACCTCCAAGGGTCAGCGCAGGGGGTGGGTCCTTGACAATCTTGGAGAAGCACTCTGCATTTATAGAGTGTAAAACATAGCGCGAAAAAATTGACAGCCAGTACTAATCTGTCCGGTGTTGCTTGGCACGCTTGGGCGCTGTCACAGACAAGGGCAATGTCGAGAGCATACTTCAAATCAAGAAGATGCTCACTAAGGAGAAGTTCCACACCTTTGTAGATCGTGTTCAGTAAACGCTGTTTTCAAGAATTCATCAATGGCAAAGTTAAAAAGGAAAGGTGGCAGCGGACAACCTTGTCTCACTGAAGGGCTGCGATCGTTTGTCATAAACTCTCTATCCGAACTGTGCGCGTACAGCGTTCTTATGACATTTGCATATTTCTGGGGCAGACCTTTCCTGAACAGGCAGTCCCAAAGAGCACATCGATTCACCGAATCGAAGGCACATTTTATGTCGAGGAAGACGATGACGGTAGGTCGGCAATAAATGTCGTGGTGTTCCAACAATTGGCGGAATGTGAAGATGTGATCAATACAGTCGCGATTTAGGCGAAACCCGGTCTGCTCCTCACAAATCTGGTTTTCAAGAGTGACAGTCGGTGGTGGACGACAGAGGCAATTGCGATTAGACTAATTCCTCTACAATTTCTGCATTCCGATCGGGAGCCACTCTCGCAAATTGGGACTATGACAGAGCGTCTCCAGTCTAATGGGACAGTCTCCTGTTCCCACAGTTTCACTAACACGTTAATAAATCATCCATAAGATCCAGTTTCCCAAATTGGAAGAGGGCTAAAAAAGTCTACCTACTCCCGCGGCCTTATTCAATTTGAACAGTCTGATCACACGTCCGACTTCTGCGCGTGAGGGCGGATCCAAAAGGACGACCCAGGGAGAAGGGCGATCAATGGCCGATATAAGCTGGTAACTCTGAATGATTAAAGTACTTTTCAGTGTTCGGTCCAAGGTTATAAGCGTTTCGACAAATTGTGGACCAACTGTCTAGGCTTGTCGCATATGGCCTTGCTAACATCAGGTCTCCTGCTGCCTTTTCACCGTATCAGACGGAATAACTTCAGATGGTTACCAAGGGCTATTTTCATCTTCGATGCATGATGAGACCACCAGGCTTCTGGTCTCTTTTCAGGCTAGCACGCAGTTTCGCCATGAGATCCTTGTGGAATTCATTGTGTTCGCCTCCATCCGGAACACGTTAGTGAGCACCCAGAAGTTCCAGAGACTGCGTAGAGACCTAATGCCCAGGTTGGCAACATGATTTGTCACACGAAGACATGACTGCCGCTAATAACTTCGGGGGATATACAACCAGTGATCTCCACCAGTAATCGCGCACCGCAAGGATACTACGAAACAACCCCGACGTATGCAGACTTGAACGGGTGACCTGTGGATTACAAGTCGGATGCATGAACTAGTCAGTAACCGAGCCATTGTGCATAACAATGGTGATGAGAGATCCGTTAGTTTAAAACATGACATAACCATGGACTGTGCATCTGTTATATCGCTCCCAGTTGCTTTTGCTCCTGATACTCACACGCCCTCATACGCCACTGTTCAGCTGTTATTAATCATTGTTATCCGTTACCAGCTGACTCCTGTTTCCATGATTTCACTCCCGATGGTTCCGTCGACACCAACAGAGTTCGTCCAGTAGTCTGCCTGCAGCCGCGGTCCTCGTTCCGCCTGGCATGCTTCAATGTACGTACACTCATGCAGACAGGGTAGCAGGCCGGTTTTGCGCGCACCTTGGGATCCATTGACATCGATATGTGCTGTCTTTCCGAAACACGTTTGCAAGATTCCAGTACTGTGTTTGAGTTGTGGTCTCCCACCGACCGCGAAGCCCTGTATCACCTAGGTCTATCTCGTGACACCGAGACAGCTGCAGCAGGCTTGGCTGGCGTTGGTGTGGGCGCTAAGCAGCCAAGCCGAAGCCGCGCTGCTGGACTGGTTCCCATTAATAGCCGACTGCGTGCAGTTCGGCTTTGCGGATCATGCAGGATCAACAGAGATCGTGAGGAGAGAGGCAACTTGTTTGTGGTCTCTGCTTATGCTCCCAGTCCCGACTCAGTCAAGCACGATTTCTACAATGAACTTCACTAGCATTTGGGCAGAGCTTGCAAATCCGATATTGTTGTTCATTCTGGGGATTTCAACGCATGGGTCGGTCATCTATTGTCATGCGAAAGTCACCTCAGTGGTCACCATGCGTTCGATGAGAGCCGCTCGAATAATGAGGAGGGAGTTCTCACATTGTGCGAAGATAATCGTTTAGTTCTGTCGAGCACCAGCTTTCGGCATTTGAGGAGACATTCCGCTACTTGGTCACCCATTCTGCGTCCAAATCTTGGTCCCAGATTGATTATACGGCAATTAGTTTCGGTTGGCGTGGTAGTGTAAAAGATTGCAGATCAATCTGGGTCACCTTTCTTGACACAAACCATGCGAAAATCTGCATGGGTTTCGAAGGGTCCCCAAAAACGAAGCACTTTGAGATGGATACAAATAAGCTATCTACTCTCTCGGTTCAGTAGAGCTGTCAAGCTGCCCTGGCCGATGTGTTTAGTTTTGACCCTCCGCAAGACATTGAAGAACACTGGACGTGCATGCATGGCACCACGATATCTACCGGGCAGTTATTATGTGGTCTTACTCAGCAACCTAAGAAGGCATGGATCTCCACGCGCTCCTTAGATTTATTTGATCGCCGCAGGAATATCCCTACGGAGTCCAACCATATTGAAATGCTTCGTTCTGTCAGTCGGCAGCTGGTGGTCTCAGCGCGCTACGGAAATGGATGTCGCTGCCCAGTCAGACAATACTCGCAAGCTCTTTCAGCTCATTCGATCTACTGGTCATAAAAGCCTGGTGTCAGTGAGACTATTTGCGAAGCGGATGGTTCACCGAGTGTCAACCTACAGAACCGTTTGGATCGATGGGCCGAACATTTTCATTCCCAGTTTAATTGGCTCTCACCGTCCATTTGTATGCCCTGCGAACCAAGCCGCTCGCCCTGGGTTATCACACTAGATCCGTCAAGTGAAGCGGAAGTTTGTCTTGCGATTCGACATCTGAGACGATTTAAGGCTGCCGACTCAGACAGACTTTCGTCGGAGCTATTCTAGTATGGAGGCGCAGTTATCATCAGCCAGTTAACCTCATTGTTCTCCAAAACTTGGCATGGAGAAATGATTGCTTCTTTCTGGGGCGAGTGGGTTATTGTCCCGATCTTTAAGAAGAGTGCTCGCAATTCATGCACCAATCACCGGGGATCGGACTCATTTCGATTGCTTCCAAAGTTTTCGCGTCCATTCTACTCCGTGGACTTTCCTCCCTTCGTGAGTCACAGTACCGGGAAGAACAAGCTGTTTTCCATCCTGGCTTTGAGTGCGTGGATTAAATATTCACGCACCGTCAAATCCCTGAACACCGCTAACTCTACCAAAGTCCTACCATCGTTGCATTCTTAGACATATGTGCGTGATTCAGTTGATCGACCTGCGCTGTGGCATTGCTTGCCAAGGAACGAGGTCCAAGAAAAGTACACAATCATCCCACGCGCACTCTACCT